GTAACTGTAAAAAATTTTTTGAGATAAAATTGGTCTTATATTTTAATTAATCAAATTAATTACAGCTGCTTTATAAAATCTGAAACAACTGATAAAAATTGATCACATCGAATTCAAAAACTTACCGAATTCGGCCGATCAAATTTTTATCAGTTGTCCCAAAATTTATAAGAACAGCTATAAATATTACATACTTAAACCCAGTAATTTATTTTAGCTTAGAAATAATATATTTAAAGTAATTGGATATAATAATTATCAATCATTAGAACCAAGAACTCGGCCAGAATCAACTATAGAGTGTCAAAGGTTTCGAGCTCTTCTGCGGGGTCTTGAATTCGTAAGCCCAGTAAACTCAAAAATGACTTGTTACAGCTTAGGTGAAGAATATGAATTGGCCAAAAATTTAAAAAATTTTACATCTCTTGCAAAATTAGCTTGACAAAATTATATTATTGAAACGTTTATTAATAAAAATGATTCATTTCAATTTAGGCCAATACTGATTACAAAACAAGAAGCTGAAGCTCAAGAAAATGAAAAAAATATGACTAAAGCCGAAATTCTGTTCAAGATTGAAACTTTACTTGAACAAATTGGTGAAGGTGCCCACAAAAGTTATTCTGGATTAAAGTCGAAAAAGAAAGAAGAATTATTAGACATACTTCAGGAAATAAAGAGTTTATTTGATTCGGATAACGTGTTTAACAACCAAGATTGTTTAGAAATCTCAGAAACAGATCAACAGGAACAATTGTAATTAAGATTTTGTAAGTACTAGGAATAATATTATTAAAACATATTGTCACGAACAAGCATTACATTTTAATCATACCATGTCTTGCACTTGCAGAATCCATCCTTTTATTTAATATTTATATTTATAACCATTTTTAACTTAAATGTAAAAATAATTAAATATTTATTAATTATAGATCTTAATAATAATTTACCTTATCATTCTTTAAACGATCAATTTAATTTCAGATCTACAATGATATAGGCTACAATCCAGTAAAATTTGGTAGCTTGATCACGGATCAATCACGAAATGTGCAGGACAATTTGTCTTCAAAACCGTTTAAGGGATAAATATTTATAAATGATTATGAATGTTCATGAACATTCATAATTATTTGAGGGTTGCAAAGGGAAAACTTGTAATTGTGAGTATTCCGAAATCAATTTTATAGAAACGGACTTATCAGATATATGATTCATTAAATAGTATTTATTATAGAATTTATCATAATCCATCAGGAATCTGATCACTGTTTCTGAAAAGCGGAGCTGGCAAAAACTGAAATTACAAGTTTTCGCTTTGCAGCCCTCATTTATAAATATTTCATATATTTAATTTTCTTATTAATTTACTTTTTATTTATTACCCTGAGCCAACAATTTTTAGATTGTCTTACTTAGTATATTATAGTGTATTGAACTTATACGCCGTGATTAATTCGATTAAACCACAGGTTAGTATCTATTTCTTGGTTTATGAAATCGATTTGAATCTATTGTATTAATGATTTCTGATAATTATCTGGATTATTAGGTTTTGCAAATACTGTGCTTGATTTTATAAAGCATATTATCAGGTATGGTATTATTAAAATACAGTGCAAGGACATTATTGAACTATCATAATTGCAAGCGGGTAAAGTATTGGCGATTATTTATTAGTGTGACAAGGATATATAGGATATGTAGTGGTCTGTATCATATGATTTATGTATTTTAGACCCGATTATCTATATTAAGGGAGGGTTTTTTTTTTTTTTGTATTTAATACTAAATAAAATGCATGTTTCTATCGTATTTAAGGGCGTTAATATAATCGTTTTTAGGCGTTACTTGAAAGGAATAGATAGAAAAGATTCAGTATTTCAAGTATTCTATATTACTAAGATGTGTTAAGATATATGTATATTTTTATTCGATTTTTGATCTGTAATATACTTTTTTTTAATTATAGCAGGAACGAAGACAGATCCAAGCTTACAAATCATTTTTAAATTGGGATTTTTATTCAAACTTGAAAATATTTATTAAACGAAACAATGAGGTGATTTTACATTCTTTGATCGCAATGAAATTAAACTTGACTATGAGGCGTATTCAACTACTGAATATCATAGAAAATAGAATTGACAAAACTAAAGATATAGTAAATAACATAATACTATTATTTTGCTGTATTTTCAAATCTCAATATGGTTCTTACATGTTATTTTTCATCATTTAAATAATGGTATAGTTGAAGTCGAAAAGAATAAATATATATATTCAAGTATCAAAAATTGGCCAAGGTGGGTCATACTAACAGAATATTTAATCTTGGCCATTGTTATTAAATGGAATTGAAGTTAATGAGATGTTCGGGTGTTATTAAAAGTTTGCAGAGATAGGTAATGTAGCAGAACGTATAATATTGGCTTTTGTTATCATGTTGTATTTAAGGTAAAAGAGTAAAATTAATCATATTCATATAATTTATATTTTAGAAGCCTCTGCGCAACTTTAAATTATGATTTTGTACCTAGTACAAAGTATTTATTTCCATTTTTTTTTTTTTTAAAAAAAAAAAAAAAAAAAAGCCGTGCAAAAATAATTGATTTTTATGACCCGGCGGGTCAAAATTCAAAAACTTGTAAAAAATTTTTTTTCATGTTTTAATACTGGGTAGGTTTTAAAAAAAAATTTATTATATATAAATATAATAAAAGAACTCGGTCAACCAGGTTTATTTAACAATCATGTTATGACCTCAAGGAATTAAATTTATGTGACATAAAAGTTATCTTTTTTCACAATAAAATATTAAGCGTTAAAATTTTAGTTGTCGCTTAATATTAATCACGTCCGAAAATACAAACTGAATTTTAGTTTATTCCTAAATTTTAGAATAATTTGGTGTATTCTAAAGTAAGCTTAAAAATTTTTAGAACGTTCGAAAACCAATTTGAGTTATGAGTGCTGTAGTACATAATATAAGAACGGTTTACCAAAAAAAGATATAAAAGCGATTGTTTAAGTTTGAGCCATATGTGACTGCGCAAAATCGGGCTTGCAATTTTAAGCCTATTCAGATTATGCTATTTCTCAAGTTTTTATTCGTATATAAAGATAAACTGGTGTTATAAACCTTCGCTTATGGAATATTCGAAAGAAAAATCTAGAATAAATCTGACCAACAATCATTACCAAATAAGGTGAAGATCATCATGCCCAAATTTGGGGAATGGCTAAAGCCATGTATCCACGTGATATGATTAATTCGAAATGTGATTATTACATAATGTACGACGTCGTGTGTACATATCAAATATGAACTATGCCAAATACGTGTATGCGTACATATATACATACATTTTCTTTATCAAAGCATCAAAGCGTCAAAGCGCAGAAGGTAAACCTTTTTTTTTTCTTTTACGTACCACCCAAGAAGATTTTACAGTAGTTTTTTTTAATTTTAATTGTTTTTTTTATAATACGTTAAAGCAGATTAAAAGTTTATTTGATAGAAACTGGGTAGTTATTCATATAAAATACTTTCAAACCATACGCACGTACATTTTTTTTTTTTTAACAATTATTAAAGTTAGACTTCCTATATACGTACGTCTCAAAAAAACTTTTTTTTTTTTAAAAAAAAAACTTTTTTTAAAAAAAACCATCTTTTAAAAAAAAATTTTTTAAAAAAAACCTTTTTATATCATGAGTTCGAATCCAAACTTTACTCTTGACCAGAAACGTGAAATTCTTTTTCATGTTAATCAACCAGTTGAGATCCCACTAGAAGAGTTTGATAGCGAGTAGTGGCCTCTGGTATCAAACATCTAGGTTCAATTTAATTATAAAATTCATACAAATAGAAATTCCTGGAAAACATATAACTGCCGGTTTACTAAGCACTACAAATCAAGCATGCGAAAAGAAAACATACTAGCAGAAAAGCGCAGAAAAACTAAAGTTCGTCTGGAAAATTTATGCTCCGCCAAGATCAAAGTATTCAGATTTGTTACAGAACTAAAAGTCCGGGTCGAATGATGTCAAGATTCACCTAATCATACACATGCAATAGATGATAGTGAAAGGCTTAAACGTTCAGAAGCAGTCTGAGTTTTAGTTAAAAAAGAAGCCATAAAAAACTATCCACCTCCAGTAATAGTTAGTGCCGTTAAAGAATATGGTATTGAAAAGTTAGGTCTTGAAGGAAGTCTTAAAAAGTTAAGACGTAAAAAGGTTTCCAATATTCAATATAAAGTTCGAGGATCTCTTGAAGCCCCTCTTATTAGTAGCTTAAGGTTAGAGCAGGACATTCGAGAGACGATTTCTTTTTTAGAAAACCAAGAGTACCTGGTTGAGCATTATGAAATTACACATAAACATACCCGTGGTTTCATTTTTGCACATAAAAGTCAATTAGAAAAACTTTGGCATTTTGGATGGCTAGTTCTTCTTGATTCTACCCATAAGACCAATAAGCATGACTGGCGCTTGTTCACATTGTATATCCGTGATAGTCATGGGTGTTGGAACGTATGTTCTCATTTTTTTGTAAGTAACTAAGAAAGTAGTACCATTGCAGAGGCATTAAAAATAATTAAACGGTTTGAATGCCGTTGGAAGCCCCAATACTTTCTTATTGATCAAAGTAACACAGAAACCAATGCTGTTGAGTTAGCTTTCCTGGGTCTTTCTGTGGGTGAACAAAAATGTGATGTTCTCTACTGCACTATCCATATCACACAAACCTGGTTAAATAAGGTGTATGAAGTAAAAACTCGAAATGAAATGTTAAGGGCAATGCATAAGCAAACTAAGGTTGGCTGTGAGGATATTGTTAAGCAAGCAATCGCCAATTGCCCTGTTGCCGCTGTTAAAAAATATATAGAACGAAATTATGCCAAAAATACCCACCAATGGGCTCTTTGGGCCCGTCAACATTCACCACTTCTCTTACAAACAACCTCCACCAACTCTTTAGAATCGTATCACAGTAAATTAAAACGAACAACATCCTCTCATCACGGTTTGATTGGCGCATGCAATAAAATTGTAATGCTTGATAAAAAAAACAATCAGATTCAGAATATGTAGCCTTTGAATTCCGTACTAAAAAAATATCTGCAATTGGGATTGACCATGAAATTTTTGATGAAATTCACAAACTCCCCTATCCTATTCAAAAGATAGTTGTCGATGAGGTTTTTGCTGTTGAAAAAAGATTGGAGAAAGGTAAAGAACCCCCAGGATTAATGTCATTAGATTGTCAGTGTCTTTTTTTTTTGCCGTTATTTACTACCCTGTAAGCATATCTTTCACAACCATATTTATGGTGCTAATAAGCTATTAACTGCTAACACCTGGGTAAGATTTCAACAAATGTTCGAGGATAGTGGGTTCGAAATATATGAGCATCGAGAGTTGGTTAAAGTCGAAAAACCAGGGAAGACAGAAGCTGAAAAAGCTGCAGAAAATAGACGTATAGTCGTGAATGAACTAATGGAACAAGTATGTGATGCATACTGGAATATTGAAGAAGAAGTGAATGTAGAACAAACAAATAATTTTATTAGAGAGTTAAGTTCTTATTTAGTACCTGTTCTAATAAATAATCGAATTCGTTAAAGAGGTAGATATTTAATAATTTAATAATTATTAAAAATTTATAATTAA